TAAAAGAAACTAGCGCATTAGCAAAATAATCCCCATACCAAAATAATCCCATCCTTCAGCCGGATAGCGAAAATTATTCAGAACTAAGTGTCATGTGCTTCTCAGAAGGTCGACTATCCAGTGGAGCGGATTAGGGACTTGCATGAAGATCCCACGATAGCAAGGCGGAGGCTAAAGGTTCGAGTGTAAACATTGGGCGCTGACTAACCTGTCGATGGAGAAAAACGGCACTGTTATATCTAAGTGCCCCAGTGTTCCGCAGATACAGGCCAAAATTTCATCAGAAATTCCCTCAAGAGAGATTTCTTAGCATTGTCTTCGAAAGTAGTCCCTTAATCGGACCTGTTCATGAGAGTCCAATATTCCTAAACAAAATAACGTTAATCATCAGTTACCTGAAAAGGAACACCTAGGCAGCGTTCACACTTGTAGCGCTACAGCGTCGCGCTACTGCGTCGCGCTACTGCGTCGCGCTACAGCGTCGCGCTACAGCGTCGCGCTACAGCGTCGCGCTACAGCGTCGCGCTACAGCGTCGCGCTACAGCGTCGCGCTACTGCGTCGCGCTACAGCGTCGCGCTACAGCGTCGCCGCTACCAGGTCGCGCTACTGCGTCGCGCTACAGCGTAGCGCTACGGCGCCGCTTCGCAACGTACTGCAATTTCCAACGTTAGGATGATTAGAGTTGCTTACAGAGAAAAGTAGGAAGGTTGTTGGAGTTTTCTTGAGGAATTCACGGAAGTGAGATAGATACAGTGTAACACTCTTGACCGTCCTTGACAAGTTACTCAGTAGTCACTACTATTTTTCTGGGTACCCGCTTTAGCGTAACAGTGTCCTTTGTCCTATTAAGAGCATTTTCTGCAAAAAACACCCAAAGAGTACTCGCGCCACCTAAAACACGCATGCATGTTTTTTTACCGGAGACACAAGAACCATGAAGGAACTTCTTGTTTGCATTGTGCTAACGCATTGGTGATCAGACAGTCTTCGCGTGCCTGTTGTGGGAGATGAGGCCATTTTTTTCTGCTGCCGACAAATGCGACTCAATACTGATACTCTCCTAGGCCAAAAAAAGTACAAGAAATTGTCAGGCTTTGTTGGCTGTGAATGCCTCGAAAACCGGCATAAATCTTTTTCCTGTGATCCAGGCAGAGATTGGGGGCAAACTCTAAAAGCAGATTTCGCTCCATAATTGATAAGCGGCATTGGATTCCGTATTCATTCTTTCTGTATTCAATCCTCTTCTCTTTGTTCTAATATTCATCTAATATGAGCTCTGTTTTCTACTTTATCACATTTTAATGTAGTTTCGCAATCGGGATCAAAACGACGCAGCACTGCAAGACATCAAGCAAAGCCATCAAACATCAAGCAACTGTGAAACCAAATAACTAAGTCACAAAACGATAAATAAAACAATATCCACAGCTCTTCGCTTCTGTATCAAAAACTACATCAAAATGTGATAAAGTAGAAAACAGGAGCTCACTATCAGATAAATATAGGAAACAAAGAGAAGAGGATGATATAGAAAGAAAAAACATAAAAGCTGGAGTTCGGTACAACTGTTGCCCTACAGTTGTACCGAACTCCAGTTGTACCAGCGCTACGCTGTAGCGCGACGCTGTAGCGCGACGCTGTAGCGCGACGCTGTAGCGCGACGCAGTAGCGCGACGCTGTAGCGCGACGCTGTAGCGCGACGCTGTAGCGCGACGCTGTAGCGCTACAAGTGTGAACGCTGCCCTAAGAAACACACAATCATTCCAGGAAAATAGGACGCGAGCAATCACGATTCCGTTTGCCGATGCATGAACCAGGACCGATATTTTGGGATGACACCGATGATCGTTTCTTGGTTTGTCACGCTCAAGCGTCGTCACAGCATGTCGTGAGTACTTTATCCATCTGAGACAGCTCTTTCTTAAAGGCAATTCCCGCTATCGGGTGTTACGGATAGTTCGTGCTCAGTTATGGAAACAGTGGCCCATAAGTAGTCCTCATAGGAAAAAGAAGGGAAAAAAACAACTCGGGAACACCCAAGCACAGACTTCCCCTCAGCAGTCTTGGACGAGTGTGTCGGGCGTGAAGGATGCGCGTTCCATAGCGATTGGAGCGCAAAGCTCGAGCCGTGGCACCGTGGCGTGAGCGCCAGGCACTTCCTGGCCAAGCGATGCGATATTCGTGTTCGGAGGTTGAAGGCCTGCATACAAAATTTCTAGCCTTTAAAAGCTCGGTTGTAAAACTCGGCTGATTGAAGATTGCGGGTGGAATTGTGCCCCCATCTAGAATCATTAGCGTGAGATCTGAGAAACACCCGGTGATTGCTATCATCTTCTTATCTCCTCCTTGCGACGATACGAAAGACGAACTACGCTGCTCTCAGCTGACGTCCTTCCCATCGCTTGCAGAGCATGAAACTCAAGAAAGGCTTCTTGCTCTTTTGTTCACATTCTTCTTATTGGAATCGCGCTTGCAAAGCACATGGAACGTCAAAAACAGCCCGAGATCGTGTTCACTTTATGTCTATCAGTGGAGGTTTGCTCTCACTCCCTATGGAAAGCACGGTCAATCACTGAAGATTGCGCAGCGCCAGAAGCGCCCAGCGGCGCGACACGTGCCGCCATGGGTTGTTGCAGGGATAGGAAGCTACTCATGAACGTTGCTTGTCCAGCTTACAAATATGATTCGCCACTGTTGCCACGCACAAACGTCAACTTCTTTATCGCGCCGTTTTGAGGGACGAAAGTGGTATGTTCCTTGTGAACGCGTGTAACAGTTCAAAAGGCACGGAGTCATTTCGAGGACCACTTGGTCGCGGCCAGTGTCTTTAAGCAAAATTTTTTGCTCATATTTAAGAAGAAAAAGGACAATGAAAAAATGAGAGGAAAACAGTCAAATAGACTCAGACAAGAATAAGCTTCGGATATCCAACCTAGTATTTCACAGCTTGACGAAATGATTCTAACCATGTTCGTAACATCGGATCATGGTATTCAATTGCAAGATCTTTCACGAAAATCACATGCATGCGACGTTTTGGTCGGGCGTTTCGAGTCTCCTCATCTTTACTTCATGAGAAGGTGAGATTGTGTTCTATGATCTTCTCTTGAGTCTCAACTTTTTTTCTTTTAGGACTGAGTTTGAGAGCGAAGGAGGTCCGAGGGGAGAGTCTATCGGCCGATTCCTAATCGCCAAGTCGTTGCGCGAGTTTTCTGGTGTAGAGAATTGTGACCAGTCAACACGGAAGGGAATGATGGACTTCTGCTACTACCTCACAATCGGCCAAATGGATGAAGCTTTCAAAGCAATTCGATTCATTAAAAGGTCTTGTTCAAAATGTTGTCTTTTTCATTGTGGGTAGGAAAGAAACTCATTTCATTTACAGCGAGAGTGTCTGGGAGCACATGGCGTCGATGAGTGTGAAGACCCGCCGTTTGGACGTGGCAGTAGTTTGCCTCGGCAATATGAGAAATATACGTGGCGCCAGAGCTCTTCGAAAGTCACAAGAAGCTGGCGAGAGTGAAGCTTTGCAATGCGCTGCCTTGGCCGTAGAACTCGGCATGTTGGTGGGTGCGACTGTTTACCATCTAGCATAAGAATTTGGTAAAAGGATGGCCTTTGCATATTCAGACTTGTAAGCTTATTGAGTGTGATGTGGTCACGGAATTTCTTGAGAAGGTCTCAAAGCCGGAATCTCACTCTTTGACGTCAGCTTCGAGGTTAGGGAATGTGGCTGAATCCCACACTGGCTTCGCTAAAAGATCCTTCAATACTATTTCTCCGATCTACCCCATTTTGAAATAAACGCTGCAAATGAAGTCCGTTCGCAAAATTTAGGTGTTTTCCTGTTATGGAAAAGTCATTACCTTTCCCTACACATCAAACTCCCGAATCGCAGTAAATGAATGGGCAGACAATGGCTACAAGAAATGCCCGTCGTCTGACCTAACGCCATCTCCATCGCTCTCTCTTTCTCCCTCTAGCAGAAAATGTCAGCACTCAAGGAGCCTTATTTGACACCCTACTCTTTACTTTGTTAACCCTCCCTATTCTAGCAAGAAGCTCGTTAACGACGAGCAGGCAGGCCTGAACAGCTCCACTCAGCAAGCCGTACACAATCCCCTCTCCCAGCAGCTCTCTTGGTGAGAGTTCCTCAGGCAGGGAGGGCATGTACCGTACGGTTTACCGTAGAGTCTCGTTCGGTGCGGATGAGGGGCGTGTCAGGGTATGGTTTGGCTTGCTACCAGCCCGTTTCCTTTCCTTTTTCTTTCGACAAGCAAAAGCCTTCCATTTCTTGTCCCTTACCCGCTCCAACAACTGGTGGAGAACGGGTCGGCTGCTCGCCAAACTCAGCGAAAGTAGGACAATCTCTGGCAAGTAGGGAATTCCATGGGATGGTTGAGCGCGTGGTGCGTGTTAAAGGCAGTTGGCACGATGATTTGGTGCTCGGCCTAAAATGCTAGTAGGGCGCTATATAGTGGGGAAATGGCGAAAGAACGGAGTGAAACGGTCAAAATCCTGCGAAGAAAGAGCCTCCGTTCTCAATGTGTTGAAAATCAATTGGACGAGTTTCCTGTAGGCATCTTGCCAATAACCGCTAACCGCTAACTACCGAAGATAGCGGCTGCATATATGTCCTATATATGCATGGCCGCTTTATACCACCTCCCTTTTCATAATTAGCTCGCAAATGAAATCGATTAAAGGCGTGAGATCGCGTCTGTCCATTTGTGGGCGGGCGGGTGTGTGCGGGCGTTTGGGTCGGTATGTTGTAGCTCGACAGGGCCCTTTTAAGTGTGCCTCCCTCAGAAAAAGCGCTACGCTGCACCTGCTCGGGGTCGCGGAATTCCGCTCATGCAGGCTATTAATCTACTCGTCTTGGGGTTTAACGGCCAACTGCCTTCAAAGGAAGTGTGAAGCCCTTAACCAGTAATCCTTGCCTTCTACGAGATAAGTAGTGTGAAGCAGATCACCATTCTCTTCAAGTCCACTTAGGTTTTTTCGGTTGCAGCTGTTCGGTTGAATGCGGGTGTTAACAAAACGTTTGCCTTCGAAATGCCTTTATGGTTCTTTATATCGAGTGGAATGCGAATCATTCAGGATGAAGCAGAAGCGATTTATGTCAATGCTGGGAGGTATGATATGGTGAACAAGATCCACCAAGCGCAAAACGCCTGGAACCAGGTACGAAAATTGAACTGCTCATAACCGCTCATCGTTCCAAAACCAACAAGACAACTTCCAGGCATTTCGAGGTCGCATCCCGTCACGATCGGATTCATCTGAGAAACACCCACTACAATTATGCAAAGTATTTGGAGAAAGCTGGTGCTCTTGAGCCTGCCATAGAAAAGTCTGTTGGTCAATAGACGACCTTTGTGAGAAACAAATGATGTTCCTTTTCAGTTTTGAGAAATCTGGCACTCACCATTTCGAAGTACCTCGAATGTTCGCCGATAGTCCGAAAATTCTGGAAAGCTACGTGAGGCGAAAAAAAGAACCGTCAGTGATTTACTGTACTGATGCAACCAGACGGTCGGTACTTCGCAGCAAATTGCAGAGAACTTCATGCATGGTGGGCACGATACCTTGAAAGTATTGGTGAACTAGATGGAGCCATCAATTCCTACACTGCTGCAAAGGATATCATGTCACTCGTACGAATCAAATGCACGCAAGGGAAATTGGATGAGGTAACGAGGTTGTCCACCCACATTCAAAGCTTTCAGTTTTCGAAATTGCCTATGTATTCTCATGTTCATTTAGCGATGCTAAGGATCATAAAAGAATGCGCGAACAGTCAGTCCACGCTGATCCCATGGGCGGGCATTGTCAACCATTGTTTCTCGTTTGTGTGGTTCTCGATCTGGTACGGCAGAAATGATAAAGTTTCTCGCCTCTATGAGTGCGCCTGCGAGACACAGCGACCTAAGGGCGCTGGGCAACGGTGCGTGGAAGGCTCAGGCATGAGTGTTGTTCATAGCATTCAAGAGCGACACTCGTCGCACGCACCGGCCATCATGCAGATGGATCAGCGTGTGGGCAGCGTCATCCCAGGCCCATTGTTTTAACAGGGTGCGACTTCGCGTAGACGGGACGGCAGGGCACGTCCTGCTATCAGGGAAAAAATTTGCATGATACGCCACATGTTCAAATTTCCTGCTCTGATACGACCCTCCCCCCGCCCTCCCCCACTTTGCGCACCTAATCAGCACTTTTTTCCAAAATGCTCTCAAGCTGGGAATGGAGTGGGGAAGGAGGAAGGGACCATTAGCGCCTTAAAAGAAAGAAAAGAAAGTACCATGAAAAGTCAGCACCGAAAAACATCCTCAAAGGCCTCCTACCCTCCAGTGACCAGATAGATCCGCCCGCATCTTGGCAGTCTAATGATGACGTGGCTGACGAAAAAGATAACATCGTATGGCTTTATTATCCTATGGACATAACATGAAATTCACCATCAGACAGTCTCCCTGAATTCACGGTCCTGCAACAGTTAGTATTAAACTAGGTGTAGTTGCAATAATGGGGTAATCACATGCAGTCACAGCTGTGGAAAACTTCGGCGCAGTGACATGCTTGCTGCCATGACCCAGTCCATCTGACGGGTCGAGTCAACTAGCTAGTATAGGCTGATTCACGTGCCATGCTGCGCCTTGAATGTGACCCAAGCTCTCGCATTGAGCTAGATTCTATTTTTGCAAACATAGTTGTGAAGGAGTGGTCCGTTTCTTCAGCGGGGCTTCGACCGGACATACAGAATGCGAAATTAAAAGATACGCTTGGACAACGGATGGTGGCCAAGAACTATGGCAATAGAAGTTTTATCTAAGCAAGACGGCAAAAATGAATGAGCCATGAACAGATCACAAGTAAATAAGCGTCAATTTGGGCTTCAAAGAGAATCGAGGTAATAGTTGATAAAGAAACAGCGAACATAATGAACAATGGTGAACAGTTGGCAACGGTGACGTTATAAGCATGGGTAGTCAACCAGGGTCGAGCAGAGCCAAGTGCCATGTAATGGAGACGGCCGGGTATTCATACCCCTGGTTGGCGGACGATTTGAGTTAGAGGGTTTTGGGGCGCGGTAAGATCGGACAAGGAAAGAGTAACTGAGATTTCATCACCAATACTGTATAAGCACGCCAGAAGCAGGTTACACGATCAATACTGGGCGGTAAATGGTGTTTGGGTTACATGTTTCATGTTTCGCGCTGGCGACAATGCTTGCAACGTCGCGTCGCCTCAACTGGGATATCCTAACCCGAACCCTGATAGTGCAGCTTATCGCATTAATAATGATGCTTAGCCCGACAGTGTTTTTTGTTGAATGGTACAGTATAAAGTTATTTGCAGGCGGCCGCCTTAGCTCTTGAAAGCAACGATCGTGCAGCTTGCTTTCACCTGGCTAGAATCTACGAAGCCGAAGAAAATTTCCCTAAAGCGGTAGATTTCTACACCAGGGCGCATGCCTACAACAGCGCTATTCGCCTAGTAAAGGTTCGACGGCAAAAGATTCTAGTTCGAAAAGTTTGGTGTGGGGTAACAGGGCAGCTTTCAGGAGCACGACATGCGAGATCTTCTAGCTAATCTATGTCTGATGGCTGGAGGAAGTGAGATTGTTGAAGCGGCCAGGTATTTCGAGGATATTCCAGGATATGTTCATCAAGCTGTCATGCTGTATCATAAGGTTTGTTGTGGAAAAGATAATGATTACACTCTCATCGAATGGGCGGGCCTGGGCCTACCGTTGGGCCTATATCATCTGCGTACCCATCCTTTCTAAGAATGCCAACAGGAGAGGCGCTGCATTCAGGGGGACACAATGGTAGGCCCGGCTACGCCCATACTGCGACCGTTAGATGTGCCCCCATTGCAAATCATGCACATCCTAGCAATTCATCAGGGCCAGAAAAGGTTGCTCGAAGAATGAATGGGACTAGTTTCCACCAATCACGTTCCATTTGCAAGCGCAGTTCTGCTTGATGGGGGCAACAAATGGTAGTCAGCAAAGCCTGTACAGGTCACTTTGTGATGAATGGCTCACTTTTACCACTTGGCAGCTTCGAGTTTACAGTCTCACCAAAAGGAGACCTGATAGTTAACATAAACTAATAAAATGAACCAGCGAAAGTGCAGAATGCCCTTCCCGATCGGAAAAGCGTCATTTGT